AACTCAAGAGCTCGAGCCAGTGTAGACGATAAGATGACCCAGAAGGAACCAGTACAGATCCAAACAGTACATTTTAATGACTTTATTCCACTTTTTTATTAAACGTCTTAAAGCCCAGAGCAAACTGACCAAAAATGCCACAACAAACAACAACAATCTAGTGTTCACAGTCAGCTTTTTACTGTCCCAGTATAAGGAACTTAAAACCCAAACATACCTCTGAAGGAGTGCGTCAGTTATCAATAAAACGGCTCGTGCTCAGAGCTCCACTAGGTGCTAACGGCGAGCTACAACATGATAACACATCCTCAGAGGTCGAACAGTCTCTGGACGAGCCCTGGGCTTTGGATGTTTTTGTCTTTAAGATGTAATAAATGGTATTTTTGAAAATCACCCTCGTCAAGCACCATGATTAACTGATGAGTTCCAGAACCTACACTGTAAAATGTCTCGTCAGATCTACCTCAAAAAATTACTTCATTGGTAAATTAACTAGTTTTATTCAACAAGATCTCAAGATCAATTTTTTGAGTTTATTAAAACTAGTTCAATTGCTTTTTACTACATGAAGTAATTTTTTTAGGTTGATCTGACGAGACAGTTTTTACAGTGTATGTCCGTTTCTCCCCAAACATTGCTATAATAATAATAATAATAATAATAATAATGATAATAATAATAATAATAATAATAATAATAATAATAATTTTTATTTAAATAGCACTTTTCATACCCGTGGCACCTCAAAGTGCTTTACAGACAGGTGATAAAGTTGAACAGTAATACAAGAAATTATAGGTATTAATTTAGAATCATAAGAAAATGACTCAGATAAGATAAACACCACGAGATGTAGAGTTTTAATTAAATGCTGAGTTAAAGAGATTCGTTTTTAGATGCTTCTTAAAAGCGAGCACTGAGTTTGACTGTCTAATAAAAGGTGAACTGAGCTCCACAGTTTAGAAGCAGAATAACTGAACGAGTCTCTGGATCTAGTTCTGGATGACAAACTCTGCTC